AAAGCAGTGTTTTCAGTAAAAGGCTATGGTAAAAAGAAACATGGAAGGACCTGGAATGCTCAGGGTAGATGTACTTAACTATAATGCAGACATAGAACTCACTAAAGAGAGCATATCTGAAAAAACTAGATTGGAACAGGTATGACTACTTTATTTGAGCATAGATACAAGTAAAAAACAAATATGAACTTACATAAATTTTAAGTTCAAAACTTTCTAGCACTCAGGAGTTAAGTCAGTTTTCAAATGTCTGGAGTGGTTATTTAGACTGGGTATTTTACTAATATGGTGCCATTCAAGTTAACAGCTGAATGCAAGTATTTCATCCTGATTGCCCTGGTTGAAGGATGTGTGGCTAATGCATACACAGCATTGCCAAGCCTAGACTGGATAAAGACTCCCTGCTTCAAAATAAATTTAATTTATAAAAATATGGGTGAATACCTTGCAGCTAAGACAATACGAGGATGTTATTTTTAGCTGCTAGATGTGTGCTCAAGAGTAATGCAAATTGATTTATGTTTAGTGCAGAAATTACTTGGCTGTTTTAAATTGTTCTGGAAGACCGAGAACATTACCCTCATCAGGAAGGTTTCTGCACTTGACCAACCTCCTCCAAATAATCAATTGCCTTAGTAATCATACTCCTCCTTGTTAAAAGCATTGGCAGAATGAAAGCCAATATGGTTTTGGTTTTCCTCAGTAACTGGATCTTACTGGAAAGACCCCATGAAAACCATTCTGAAGTCACTCAGCATCTACTGCAAGAAGCATCTCTGAGGAATGTTGAATCAGAAGTGATGTGAGATCATTCTGCTACTGAAATGGAAGGTCCTGCCTTCTTTGTAGAAAAGAAGGATTTTATTTCAGCAGGAAGAGCAATCTGATCTGACTGCACACAATGCCTATTCAACCTTAAAGAGGTGCTAGGAATGTGCTTTTAGGTGGTAGCAAGGGCCCAGGTCACCTTAGTGAGCTTGACATGCCTTAGGAAGGAAATTACCTGCACTATCTTTGATACACTAACCACCTTTTTAGAATATTTTTATAATCTAATAAGTGAATAAACAAAGAGAAGCTTTTATGTCAAAACTATTTTTAAGCCAACACTATGTAGAAGTAATTGAATTTTTCAGGACTATCTCTTTTAAGATGAATTTTTAAAGAACTTCAACCTTATTCTCTTTCATGAGTAGTTGGCTGTGGATGCATATGGTTCACAGGCCTTGGAAGATAAATGCAAGAAATTTTTAAGACTGGTAAAACACTTGAGGCTGGATGCTGTGAAATCGTGTTTTCTACTTGGAGTCCTAACTGTCGGTTCAACTTCAGATTAGTCACCATTGCCCATGCAAGGCCATATGAAATTTGGAATGGAAAAAGTCTCCTTTCATGAGTGGAAAAAATGTGACTTTTGAGTTTTTGACTGTTGTCTTTGCTCCACACTCATCTCCCCAGGAAGCACAGCCAGTCGTTCCTGTTGTGAGCTCTCTGACACTTTCCCAGTTGGTTGCTTCAGATAAGTTTTTTTTCTTCTAATAACTATTTTCTGTCTGAAATCAATTGCATTTTAGGGAGCAACCTCACTTGTGGTTTAATTGTCAGTAATTGAACAGACCTCTGACAGTCTCAAAACATATTTTTCAAGTTTTCAGGTCCATGATTCTGCCCTTTTTTTTTGAGGCTAAACTTTTTTTCTCTCCACACAATACATTGGTCATCAGAGAGCCTGTTAAAGGAATAATTGTTTTCAATTTTTTGCTATCTTGCATCTTTCAGCACATTGGGTTATATTTAATTTCCATTTGTAATTCCACTATGTGGGGACAGTAACAGTTTCATGAAAACTGTTCCTGAAAGTAACAGAAATGTGACAAAAGATTACAATACCATAAATGAGCTAAAGGAAACCTGGTCTAGATTACAGGATTTTGTCTTCACCTCATGCTATTTAATGAAAATACTTTATGGATATTTAGTACTGGAGTGCCACATGTCTCTCCACACTTCTTTGAATAAAGAAGATGTAACTTTACAGAAATCAGTATTTGTGACATTAAAACAACTGCAGTGAAAGGAAGCCCACTGAAAGTGAATGCCCAGTATCTTCGAAATCAAAGTATCTCAATCTGCAGATTGAGCCATAATGTCAGAAGTACTGTCATTATCCAGCTTTTCTTGGTAATGCAGTTGTTTACCTACCTGGCAGGACATGGTCACTCCACTGTTTGGAAATCATGGACATGAAAAAACAACTGGCATGAAGAGATTTTGTAGCACAGCTCTAGAAGTCACTTGACAAAACTCGCTAATGAGAATTTCAAATTAAAATAACAGATTAGGAATTAATTAATCTCATTGATTTACATTTTTAGCTTGCTCAGGATACAAATAACATTCCAGAGTGGTCTGCTCAGAAAGCAGGTGTCACCTTGGGTCAAGTTTGTTTCTAGAGTAGCCTCTGAATAGAGAGGAGGCTTTTTTGCTGAAAATGTCTGTATGGGAATCTGGCCGCTAGTGTATTAATGCCAGAGAGCAGGGAAGCAACTCCTGAATTTAATGAAGACTTCAATGCTGTTAGCCCAAGGAAATATTGATTAAAGGAAAGCACCTTTGCTTGTGGAGCCTTATTTTCTTTGCCACACATCAGTTACATGCTGTTGGCCTCAGGAAACAGGAATAGTTTTGAATTGTTTTATCAGCCTGTTCTTCTGTGTCCCACCTCTGCACAGGGAAGGTTATCGGAAGGGTGCCTACACTGAAATTTGCCGCAATAAAATTTTTAATACTGAAGTTACATTAGACTGCTCCAATCTCTGTTCATGATAGTTACATAAACAACTGCACAATATTTCTATTACAAAAGCCATTAACTTTTAGGAACTAAGTGCCAATGCCATAAATTGAAAATTCAAGTATTTATTTGTTCAGGATAACACTGAAGAACAAGAAAAAATATCATGTGTTGTAGCAACATCTCTATTATAACCAAAGATTCAGAATATTCCTCATTTCTGTCAAAAAACTCCCATTGTTTTACTTCCTGAAGTCATCCAATCTTTACAAATATTGTATTATTTCAAAGAAGATAGAGCAAAGCTGCTGGCTTCCCCTTTGTGGGGAGGTCACAGAGCAACAGACACAGGGAAGAAAGAGCACTATAAACATTTTCCATTTCTAGTTTCCAGATTTCCTCTTTAACTACTAGAAATACTCCTGGAAAGTTTTGCTTATTTGATCTCATTTTTTTTCCTAGAAACAGGTGATTTTTCTGGCTCAAACTGGCAAACAGTATCACCTACATTATTTTCTCCACCTTTAAAAATAAATAGGTATAAAAAAATTCTTTAAGAGAAATGTATATGTTTCTGGAAGTATTATGTTGTAGCTTGTTTTCAAATTATGATTAATGAATTAATAATAATTAAGCACTGAAGCCCTATCTACCCAATTGTTTACTTAAAGACCTTCTACCCTGAGTAGGAGACATCCCCTTGCATTTTGTGCTCCTTGACCTGGGGATGTTACAGGGAGGTGAAGAGTCATGTGTTTGAGAGATGGAAAGGTACAGATAACACGAACAAAGCATCAAACCCTCCCCCCAAACCCTGACTAAACCTGTTTGAGGTTGTTCCTTTTCCTTTTATTGGTTGCCTAGTGTCTAAGCCCACCTGATGGAACCGGTAAGAACCATAACAACCATATGAACTGTGAAATAACACTGAGCAATAGAAACACACATTACCACCTTTGCAAAATTAATTCAATCAATAAAATAGCTGAATAAAAAAAATATAAAAATAGAAAAAAATATTCATCAAGTACACCCATTTTAATACAAATCTCAAGCTAATTTGGGGATACTTAATTTATCTAAGATAACTCCATAAAATGGAAACAGAGTATTTCTCCAGTGTAAAGAGACCAAAATAGTTTTATAGAACAAATCGTTTGAACAGCAAGAGTAGTTAGAAAATGTGGAAATGGTTCATAGGTATTGTGATTTCTTTCAACAAAAATGTTCTTCAAATACTTGGGTACTAGTACATCCCAAGAAAATGAAATGTGGCTCTGCTCCAAGTGAGGGCTGTGGAAATGGAATCCTGCTATTGCAAACATTTCATTACTAGCTCCTATAGACCAGAGCTCTCATTTCCCAAAAAAACCCCTTTTTTTCTTCTAAATGTCAACCTGCAAATTTACCTTTTAGTACAACAGCCAAACCGATTTTTTCCTTCTCAATCATTATGTTTAAAAATTACAGTTATGAAGGTCAAGTCAGTCCTGAATGGCACCTGTATAATGTGGTCACATCCAATTAATTTGTCTGTAATCCAGCCCTCATTTCCATCTTAATTCCTAATAATTAGTGGCATATCTATCTTCCCTGTAAATTGTCAGATGGGTTTTTCTCCATTTCAGGCAGGGTATAGATCCTTACAGCCTTCTTAGAAATTCAAATTGATTCCTACCTAAATATCTTAGAATCGAGACAGGAATCAACTTTAAAGATTCTTTTTACTCCCACTGAGGGTGCCTTTGCTCCTGCATGCCACAAAAGCCAATCCTGAACCTCAAACAAGATAACCTGAACAACTCCAGCTCACATGGAAAAAGTACCTTTTCATGGTGGCTTCAAAAATGCTCTTTTAAGGAATAGTAGGATAATGGAAAATCAGCATCTTTTTTTTTAAACCTTCCTGAATATTCTCATAAGATAACTTATTAGACTCATAAGATAACTTATTAGAATAGAAATTTGTCTTCTTTTTGTCTGGTCTATTATTTGTTCTGCCTAGAGAAGAAGCATGGCAAATGGAAGCAAACATGGGATTATCATCCACTTTGTTAGCAGGCTTGGAATAAGGCAGAAAAAATATCAGCAGTTTTCCACACCAGTGCAACAAGTACCCTACTTTCCTTTCTGTGAGGTAGAGGAAAAACACCAAAGGAAAGAGATTTTAATAAAGAATTAAAACAGAAAAGCTATTCAAACTTACCTTGCCAGCCTGGTTTACACACGGGTTTGACATTAACTCGTACCAAGACATCTTCTGTTGCATGCTTTTGCCCACAGTCAAAAGCTGTGACCATTATGTCATACTGCTGCTGTTTATCATAGCTCAGTTTCTCAGTGTTCCTGATGTTACCTAGAGGTTCAACACAAGAAAACATTCAGAGATTCATTCTTGGCTAGCATTCACATATTGCAACATTTGTGTCCTGGTTCATCAAGTGGTTTGTGACTTTGAGCTCTTTGAAGCACACATGACATGCAGGATGTTCTGAGGAATAGGAAGGATTTTCTTTCACTCCAGCAGAGAAATAAGAAGCTTGTAGTAAAATATAAGATGGGAATGATATAATGTGGGCATGGTTCTATCAGAAAACATTTGTTTAATAAGATTTTCTGAAGTAAGATGGTAAAAGTAATTAGCAGCTACATCTTGACATGTGTAATGAGTAGGTGCACTCGCCTTTTCCACATTTGCCACAATACATGGCTTTAACAGCCATGTTCCTGAGATCCACTACGGAACCTAAGTATCTTCCTGTTTTCTCTAAAGCAATTACCCTGTTGGTGAGAGACATTTTTAAAATAGGAAAAGCCCTAGAATCGCCTGCTGCATTACAGTGTTTAGTAGTATTTGATAGGGCAGCACAGAGTTATCACATGCAAGATAAAACCCAGCAAAAACAGTTTATCTGCTCAACCTGACACACATATAAAGGTAAAAAATTGCCTGCTTTGGGAGCAGACATCAGAACTTTCAGAAGGAAAGGGAAAGATCTTTCTCTGAATAGTTTCTGGAGGACTGGGAGAGCACTATGCAAAATATATGGGTTTTATATTAACAAGTTTGGCATTTTAATTCTGTCCATTTCCACTGAAATTTACTTTTTTGCACAAGTTGAAACTTCATCCTGTCTATTAATTTCATGTTTTTGCTTTTGCAGGGTTGTTTGTTTTACCATCTCTTTGAATGAGGATTTTTGTTCTACAATTCAAGGAACAAACTTACTCTGCAGCAGTGCTAGAAGCTATCTGCTTGCAAGCAAGGATCAGCAAAATCCTTGCTTGTTAAGCAGATTTTTAGCACAAAAAATTGTGCTAAATTTAAAATGGACAGCCCCCATATCCTGGAATTTAGTCAGATGCAGTGAACTGATCCCTACAGGTGCTGGCAAAAGTCTCTTTTGTTAGACAGAAAACATTAGGTTTGGTTTGAGCATTTGGGTTTCATTTTCTTTTTTCTTTTCACTTGAGTGAGTGAGAGACAGGAGAAAGCAAACAAATGCAGCTTCTTAAAATAAGTCTTTCACTAAAGCTCCATTAATTTGACAAGTGACGTCTTTTAGCAGGTATCTTTTTGCTTCTCACTCCTTATCTTGTCAGAGCCCACCACTTTGCCTTTTACTACTACTACATTAAAGCCAACGTTAGGAGTTTATTGAAATGGATGCAAAACTTTCCAGGTCGAGCCTGAAGAAAGCCTGCTGTTTGCATTTATCACCACCTTCAGGTTCAAAACCTGTAGTTTAAGTAGATCCTTGCATCTGCAGTTGTAAGTCAGGTCCAATAAACCATTTACTGCTGAGTCTGAGTCTCTCCTGCTCCCTTTGTGAGCAGGACACACAGGAGGACAAGCCCTTTGTTACGGTGAGCTCCTGGACACCCTTTTGTCCCCCCTTCCCTAGGGCCTCTGTGGCTCTGATCATGATAACACCTGGATCCTCCTCCCTGCCCCAATGGGGTTGGCAGGGAGCCAGGAGAGCCCACCCTGTCCAAAACCTATATAGACCCCTGAAACTTCCTGCTCTTCCTCTTTTGCCCCGCTCTCCATGGACACCACAGAATAAAGAGAGCTGTTCCAACACCCTGGGTAAGAGCCTCTTTTGAATACTTTTCCCTCTCATGCTATTTCCTCCCCTCACAGCCCCATATCTCTGAGCTGGTCGGATCCTAGAGGGGGCTGCGTGGAGGGGGGGGAAAACTATAGAAATTACAGCCCTTCTCATATTTTAATGTCCTGAAAGAAGAAATGGAATGAGCTGCTAAAGGCTGATTTGGACACAGGGCAGTGTCCTGCAGACTCTGGGTTTTTCTCTCTGGGGTACCTCATGTTGTCAGGCATTTTCAGGCCTGCCATGGACACAGATCTTTCCTCCCCATAAGAACTGCAACAACCACATCAAGTACTTCATTGGGTTTTGAGTTAGTGATTGACAAAGCCATCTAATCACCCATTTTACTATCTTGAGTTGCCTGATTAGTGGCTGCCTAAGAGGATTTAATGAAAAACTGCCACTTTATATACCTAATTACTGACTTTATATCCGGTCAGTTCTTCTGTCCTTTTTGTATGATATTATTTTGTACATGAATCTTTATATTTCCCTATTTGGTTCTTCTTGGTATTATTTTAGTCTGTGATCAGCAAAGATAATTCTGAAGAAACCAAAACTGTCCAAATTTTCATTAGCAGATTGCAAAAATTTGTGTGGCACATTAACTGTCCTACAGGGTTTATAAATCTTACAGCATATTTACATTTCATTAAATCTATCTTTCAAGAACTGTATTTCATTCTGGCCATTTCAGATTTGGACTACAGAGATTCTGACTCTTAGGTGTTATTCTGGAAAGTCATTTGGATGACTTGCAGATGTTAACCAATTGTTTATTGATTTCCTAATATTTTTTTCTCTTACCTCTAATGCTTTATGATTCTTTGGGTTTTTATAATTTAATCAATACAATTAAAAAGCAGACACAGAAGGAAAGTACTATAAACAGACTAACTAAAGTTTCAGAGATGATAGTCTGGAAACTTCTGTTTGCATCTCACTCATAGACAAAAAAGTAATTAATAGCATTAAAAAGAAAAAAATTTAATGGAGAAGTAAATTTCTACACAATTCAAAATTAGACCATACATTTTTTTATTCAGTCTTCCTAAATATCTATCTTTTCCTAAAAATACCCAGAGCTATAACCAATTTTCAAACACCAAAAAGCAGATCGGTGACTAGAGCCCTTCCTGAGGACACAGACATTTACACCTCTGTTTCTTCAAGGTCAGTTTTAGGGGTAGATGGATACAGGCATCCCTCTTTTATGGCAGTTCCACCTTACTTTGGAGCAGACATAAGAATGGGGAAAGACTTGACTGATTTAGTATGGCAATTTTCTCCTGAATTCCACAGTTACTAAATCAATTGATCTGCTTGTTCATTTTTAAATGATAAAGGAAAAAAAATCTGTCATTTATTAAATATATAAAAATCAAATGCAGATGCTCAGCTATAAAGTTTGGCTTTACTTTTCTGTCGATATGAAGTGCGTGCAGCTCCTACCACAGCTCTGGGTGCGGTAAAGGGGGCTATTGTGAGGTCATGTCCTGTCTAGGATTTGTAGCCTGATAAATCCTGTATGGACTGGACAGGTTCCTGTCTCATCTTCACACTGAACAGTCTGAACATGCATTTGTGAAGTGCTCCACAGAGCTGGGTGGCAAATAAGAATCATTGGCATTTTTGAGGTGAGACTAGGTCAGAGATGTGACAGAATTTGTATTTATACCTGAGTTCCCAGATCCTCTGACCATCATCCCTGACAAATAAAGTACAATATATGTGAATAAGAATGGGTTTTGCTGGCATTCCGACAGATCTGTGCATTGTGGTTTAATTCTTCTGTCACCTGAAAAAAGCCTACGCAATATTGCTACAGTAACTGACTTGATTTGGATTCTCTGCTAAGGATAAAATGAGATTAATCTGCAATACTACTTTAAAATATATTATGCCTTATACCTTTAATCACAGTTCTTTGCACAGTAAAGCATAGATTTGTCCTCTGCCTTTACATGATTGTATTTTATGACTTAGAGTTTATTGCCCTCCAAGTTTGGCTCATCATATACAAGACTGAATTTTATTAGTGCTATAGTTTCACAACACAAAGTAATTTTATCCGCAAGAAAATCACACACCAAGAGCCAGAGTTCCCAAACATAACTGGGAAGCTTTATATTACCTCCCCAAAGTGCCTAAGCTATAAGGACATGTAGAAAATACCCCCAAGCTGATGCTGCTTGCTGTGCCCACCCACTCCTGCCTCCCATAGAGTGAGGATGAGGCAGCCTGTGCACCAACATAGCCTGCAGAGCTCTCTCTGCCTCTCTGCAAACTTTCCCCAATGTGTAATACAATTTTTCAAGGCCATCAAAATGCTCCATGCATGGATCTAGGGACAAGAAGTAAGTTTTACCTAACAAGACACTGACCTGCAAAAGCAAAAAGAGCTGATCATATAGCTTCACCTTTTTGCAGACCTACATTTAGGGTTAGTTTAATATGTTGCTCATGAAAAAAGTCCACCGTCTGGGGCAGACAGAGGCATGTTTTCCTCACAATTCACCCCCACCTCCATCTCTTGGAGCCCCCTGAAATATTTAGATTTGATTTTAAGGTATTTGCTTATCCTCTTTCTGAGCAATGAAGCTCAGCATATAGGTGACTGAAAAGCATAAAAAAAATCATAATCTGCAGAAGACACAAGAACCTAGATTTGTATTTCACAATGGCTAAAAATACTCCTGTTAACAAAATCTTAATTAGCACAATATTACCAGACAGTCCCAGGAATCTCATACATCTGTTTTAACCAACCTCTACCAGGAACAAAAATGGATATGTTTCCAAAGAATTTGCACCAGAGAAAGTTTCTACCAGCTGCCTTTGAGAAACATTCTCAGCAGTGAAATATGTTGGAACTAAGCAACAAATTTTTGTCACAAAATACATGTATAGTCATCTTTTCTAACTTTGTCTCTAATCCCAGTGGGTTTAAGCAATTACCATTATCTTTAAAAATTGCAAATTAGACCGCAATTACTGTTGGTTGTGACAGCACTGTTCTTTTAGTGAACAAATAGATCAAAAATATTAATTGAGCTCATGACCAAGAAACTGCAAGTATTAAAACCTTACAAAAATTATTCACTGCACGCTTTAAAGTCACATTTAAATCAATTATTTTCTCATTGCCATTGCTGAAAAGCAGGTACCAGGCACATGAGGACAAAGATGTAACCAAGGACTCCTGACATTTCCTATGCTTTTGATCATATCTCTGACTGTAAAAAGACATGAGTACTCCTGAGGCAGCTGCTCTGTGTGACAGGAGCTCAAAAGGCACAAGTAATAGAAATGACTTCTCTGCATCACACAAATTGCTGGGTATTCTGTCCCTGATATCTTTCACAAACCCCACAGGGAATTACGAGACAACGTGTGACTTCTCTAAATAACCACCCTTTACACAGGCAAGTCATGTAGAGCCTTGGAAAAAAATGGATTCAGAGACATAGAGAACTTTCTTTTATGACAGCATGGGAAATCTCACAGTTAGGAAAAAATCCATGGAGAGGAAAATCTTCTAGGGAATTGCTTCAAAATATGTCCTTCCAAATGCCCACTTGCTGTAAAAAATCCTTTGTGCAGTTCTCTAGATTCTCAAGAATCCTTAGGGTTACTGTGTCAGCTGCCCTCATTTACTCAAACACAAACATATTCCTCATGATTGCACTTCCCATACCATACACTTGCTTCCCAGTGTGTGATAATGAGATGGATTTTCCCCCAAAGTAATTAAAAATTATTGATGTAACAGGCTATTGTCTTCTGATGCTCATCTGTGCATTGTGCAAGAACTGAACAAGGTAAAGTTTTTATAAAACATCCCAACATGAAAATGACTGCTCAGAGAAAACAGTAGCTCCATGCATGCTTTCAATTTACAATTTGGCCAAAAATCAGGTTTGATTTCCAAACTGTATTCTCCTCCTACAAACATGGATTAACTGCTTCTGCTAGGAGAGATAAATCAGAGCATTGCTGGGTATGCACACAGGGTGTTTCTTCAGGGGAAACTATTTTGTATCATCTGAAGGAAGCAGAGAAAGGGAGCAAGGGCCTTCCACATGCTTTTCGTGCAGCGCAATCACCATTTCCAAATTCAATTCCATGTTCTTTGCTGATCCAGGAAGCTGACATACAAGGCGATCGAGATCAAAAACTGCTGCATATGGAAAACTTAATATGGTTTATTATTTTCACTAAAACACAAAATATCTACCTCAGAAAAACAACTAAAACAAACCAACAAAAACTTAAGAAATGGTACTTCTTCTCCAAAGTACATTTTCTGCCATGCTGCAGGGTAATGGGTCCACTTCAGGAAGCACCACAAATGGGCAGGTCTGTGGATCCGTGACCCTAAAAGTTTTAACAATCAATAAACATGCAGAATATTGCCATATTCAGGTTCTGCTTCAGGAAGTTCAGGGGAATGGGACTAGCTGTAATCCAGTAAATAAACCCTGCACTGGGGAATACAAGCTGCCTTGGGGAATGCCATCACTTGGATGGGAAACAGGATCTGAGACATTTAGGAGAATGGAACAAGTGACCAAGAATCAAATTGCTCACCTAAATCTGGTGGTTTAATTTCCACGGGAGATTACTGCATCACTTTCTGCCCCAGTGTTACACAAAAGGGATGGAATATCTCAGTGTGAGGGTTCCTCCATTCTCAGAGATGAGAACAGGATTTCTTGCTGGAGTTCCCTCTCCAGCCAGGTGATCAGCTCATGCCCCCAAGCACTGCCACCCCTGCAGACAGCCCTGCTGTGGCAGTACTCACCATTCCTGTCGATGGCAAAGGGAACATCTGTGGTGACAATCTCGTAGTTGCAGATTTGGCTGTACTGGGGGGAGCAATCCTCGTCTGTGGCTTCCACCTGCAGAATGCTGTCATAGATCTTCCCCTCTGTCACTGAGGCCTTGTATATGCTCTCCTTGAATGCTGGGGAGAACTCATTGACATCCTTTACCTGGATGTGGACTACTGCCCTAAAACAGGCACAGAAAATATCAAAGAGGAAAGTTAATTTATTGTGACACCTCACTAAAAGTTTATTTTCAAAACGCTCAAAAAGACTAACAAAACATATCTAGAAAATTATGTAAGCCCCTATTAAAATGAGATATTAGAATTTTCATTTTTCATTTGCCCAGTTTAGTATCTTAATGTGACACTAGGTAAAAGTCCATTGCCGTGGCTTGGAGAGTGTTTCAATAAGTTCCCTATTAAGTCTGCCTCAAAAATGAACCCCAGCAGAAAGCCAGTGATATCATTACATGGTAAAATAAGCAAAGACTGTCCTAAGTTAACTGTATGATGCCTTTATCCCCAATCGTCTGCTCTGTTTATATTGAATAATAAGTTCTACACCTTTAAAACTTGTTCCAGGAGTGAAAGAGAAGGGGGAAGAAGCTCGGAGTTTGTTTTCAAGAACTGCACTCCCTCCTCCACATTCCTGCTCCTAGACTGTGTCGTCTGCAGATAGACAGACAGCGAGAGAGAGCTCTCCTTTTTTTTCTTTTCCTAGTTAGTTTTAGCTAGCTGAGGCGAAGAAGCTCCCTGGACTGTAGTTTTTTTCCCTTTCTCTAGACTGCTCTGGACTAAACACCCAGAAGAGCAGCACCTGTAGCCCAGAGGGCCGGGCCTGGACCGCAGCATTTCCAGCGCCGGAAGGACCGATCAGAGACTGAGCCCAGCTGCAACCCGGGAGATTTTTCCTAAGTTTGTCTCTCTCTTAGAGTAGCGAGAAGTTTTATTGTTTAATATTGTTTAAAATTGCTTGTTTAATAAACAGGTTTTTTCCACTTTCCTCCAAAGAAGTATCCTTCCCGAACTAGTTGGGGGGGGGAGGGGCCAATTGAGTCTGCTTTCCTAAAAGAAAACCCTTTTAGGGTTCTTTCCCCAAATTTGACCTAAACCAAGACAAATACCAAAAAAATCACAGTAGTCTTCCATATTCACTACCTAAAAACGGTCAGTTTACAAACATTATTCCATATTGAGTAAGGCTCTCACCTTCTGCTGATGATAATTATCTAATCCTTCAAGTAGTTACAACACTGCACATATAGTCCACCAAGGCATTTGATATTTAGTGAGTAAACCCTAAAGGCCTTGCTTTGGAACACTTTGCTTTCTGGTGTGATAGGCAGGGTGACAGAGGGACACAAAAGGGATGTTCTGGAGCAGAGCTCCAATAAAGGCTGGGACCTCAGGCAGCGTGGCTGAGCATGTGCTACCAGACAAAATCTGGTGGCAGTGGGCCAGACTTCATTTAGTTAAGATTAGACCAAAATTTTCCACAACTGGATTTCTAGCAGATTGTTACTGATGTGAGAGGGGGAAATATAATAAAATTTGATATTGTGAAGCAAAACCTGTTTCTGTGATTTGATGGTTATCTGCCATTACAGGCTTCCTCTTAACTCTGTATTCTTTTTAAATATCCTGAAAACTTCAGCATGCATTACAGACCTAATTAAATTTTTAACTGTCATATGTGCTGGATGAGCAAAAGGAGGAATGATTACAATAAATCATTTATTATAATGGCTCTCAGCAAAATGAACTATTTGTACAGCACTTATACATCTATGTGAGTTAAATTAATCTTTAATGACAAATGGTCTGGAGCTTAGTTTCATTAATTCAAAGGGAAAAAAAGACACTGTGCCACCTAAGCTTATTCAGGGAATTGGTTCCACAGTAAAAAGTACCACCTACAGACCTTCAATACACTCCTCTTCAGAGAACTTCACTTTCTCTGAGACTTGGTGGACAAAAGCTGAGGTCAAAAGCACTGTTCAAATGTGACACTGCTCAGCTTATGATATAGATATGCTAAAACAGGGGGATGATTCCTCTTTTCTTACCATTTGAAATAACATGAACAGAGAAAAAACCTATTTAAAAATTGCAACTATCAATTGAAAGCCAGTTTCTATGACCTGGATGTATTCAACATGAAAACACGAATGGAAAATATAAACCAAAACTGAAATTCATTTATCTGCATGAACAGGGATCCTGTCCAAAGCTTTACCTGAAGCAAACAAAAAGGAATATGTTTTCTAATAGGAAAAAGGAATGAAAAAAATGGTGGAATATTGCAACTATGATTTATCTTTGTTTTAGTTGCTTTCTATCTGAAATAACATAGACTGTGGAGCAAATGTATGCCAAAGCATAAAAAAATTTCTTCTCATTTCACTCACTTGTGAGATTTCTTCCAGTTTGTTCCACCTGGTCCTGATCCACAGTCATAGGCCTGGATGATGAATGTGTATTCCTTCTGCAGCTCACAGTCAATGGGACTCTTTGCTCGAAGCTGACCTTCTCCAGATGTCTTGTTCAGCACAACAGCCTCAAAGGGCATTTCTTGCCCATGGATTTTAAAAGCACAAATTTCACCTGTGAAGAACAGCACAAACCAATCATAACTGGGGGGGACGGGGGCGGGGGGGGGGGGGTCCTAAGTCTTATGCACTGGACAGACACCTGCAAAGTTAATTTGTATTTCACCTGCTTTTCCAGAGGAGGGAAATACAGACTCGGGCACCAGGTCATTGTGTTTCCAAAAGAGCCCTTAGGTAGGTGCTGTGCAGTGAGATGTGCTGAGTGCAGCTCCTCCCTCTTCCTCTGTCAGTACTAAATGGTTTCTGAAAGCCCCAGAAGCTATTCCATATGGTGCCAACAGCAACGGTGAGCTAAATTATATTTGAGCTAAATTAAGAGACTGTATTTATTTAAAGGAAATAGCAAAAAGAAAAATAGATATTACTTCAGAGTTGGTTCTTTTTAAAATGTTTCACTCGTTGAGCCACTTGAGCTGCCAGGTGGTAGCAGATGTGCAGTTTAGATTCCCAACAGTGGAAAAACTAATGGTACATCCTGCTTTATTTACAGACATACATCATCTTTGGATCAGAAGCAGTTGAAGGCACACAGACAAGTGTCACTTTTAGACATCTCAGTTACCCACACAGATTCTCACTCTCATGAATGAGTGCCTTCTTGACAGCAGCTCAGTCTGACTCCAAAATGTTTCCTAATACAGTAGATCCATAGCATTTCTCAGAGGAGTACTAGAGAACAGGAGAGATGATATAGCAAGGACTAAAAAAATTGATTTTGTCACAAAAGACAGCATAAAAGATCTTGTGAGATTATGAAACTGGAAAGGGAAAAAAGACCCAATTTCTGGTGTTCCTTTTTTTATCCTTCATAATGATAGCAAGGATATGCACACAGAGTTTATTTTATTTTTAGTTCAGTCTCTATATGCTGCTCCTGTGCAAGGTACTAAAGAATCCAACTTTAAAAATGAAATATTTATATAAAGATCAATATGACTTAAATATTTTCATGACACATTAAACACATGCTTTTTTATGAGCAAGTCAGTCTCAGGATGTGCATTATAGAATCAAAGCCATCCCCTACTCACATAATCCTTTTCCATTTACTTCCAGTTTATAGTTGCAGCCTTTTTAAAATTTCTTTGCCAATCATATCTGAGCCAAGTGCCGAACTCTACATTAACTCGGAATCTATGACCTCTTATTCAGGCCTGGTTCCTGTTTCTCTATTACAATATATTGTTTATTTTTGCAAAAGAGAACAGACAGTGACTTTGAAAAAGTGCTGAAGTTCATAATTCCTATTATGTGTGAAAAATAAAAAATGGCAAGGGTGTGTGTGCAGGGAGGGTGGGGGATTAGGTACGGAGGTATAAACACAGGATTTTTAGAATATTTCCTCAACTATCATCACACAGGTTTCCCTTTATGACCATAAGAGCTGAAGCTTTGCTCAGCTACATCCGCTGACATTTAGGTAGCTGAATCCCACACTTAATAATTGCAATTCAATCCTGTGAATACCTTTAAAGGATCACTACACAGTTTTGGTAATTATAAGGCACTGAAAACATATATTAAGCATTGCTTAGACATTTTCCTGCTGCCCCCTCTCCCTCCAGGGGTGTGAAAGGGCTGTGGAGTTTCCCAGAACAAAGCTGTGCTCTTGTCCAAGCTCTCTGCTGTTCACCCTTTGTGAACTCAAATATTTGGGCTACAGAAGAAGAAATAGACTTTACCCTGAGAATCAGATTTTCAACAGGACTAACATCTTGCACATCCATCAAAGCAGGCTGCACAGCGATAATGAAATGTGCACAGGGGTCAAAGCACAACATGAAGAGAAGGCATAAGGGAAGCAGCCTGTTCAGGCACTGATCACTGAGTTTGTATCCCACTGCTGTCACATACAACCTTTGAAAAAAATGATCTGCATTTCCTTGTAACTTCAAAACAACACATTTATCTAAAATGATATTGTGGATTTCAGTTTTATTTTAATTGAAAACAAAATAAATCAGTACAAACATGGGAAATCTAATGGCAAGTACTGTTTGTTGTGTTCTATAAACACTGGCCTTCATAGTTTCTTAATAAAGTTTTCCTCAGATGCACAATCCATCAACAGAAATCCTAACTTCAGTGGTTTGTGTTCATTAGTTTATTGATCCACTGTTTGATTGCAGACAAGACAGCATTAGCAGATGTCCAAGCTACAGTTCTTGAAAAACAGAAATAGCTCCAGGCAGACAAAAGTTCTCTCAGCCTTAATCTAAATATTTATCATTTTTCTTTCTCCAAAGGCAGAGCCCTAATGCAAAGCACTCATAGAAGCAGCATATGTTCCAATTAGTTCTCATAAAATATTTTAGAAGTCTCTATATCCCGCTCTTATGCAAAATACTCCAGTTTTAAATACAATTCTAATTTTGCCTCCATAGTCCCATTTGCCAAAGATAAAATAAAGACAGCTGCCTGCATATGATGAGATATTTGTAAACACACTGCAAAAAACCTACATACTTCCAGAATGTGGCTACAGAAACCTGCTTATTTGAAAATAAATGGAAATGTTAAAAATTGGGTAAGATTTTTTTCAAAAGAAGGGCTCTACTGCCGTTTCCAAAGACATGAACTAACACGGTAAAAAAATTTAAATGTATAGGATCATGACTTTTTAAAAAGGTGTCTTAATGGCTGTATTGCAAATGGGAATGATAACAGAGTTGTAAGAGCTGTAACAAAGCAGAAAATTAAGTAAGGTCCACTGCCAGACACACAGACATTGACAGATACATAGAAATACTCTTATTAAGCATTACAAATAGTGTCTTTAAAATGTAACAGATACTATTTCTCATTATTAAATAGAGCTATAGGACTTTATTTCAACCCAGATGAGCTAACCCCAGATTGCTGGAGATCATGCAGGTACAGAAGCTGAGCTGGGTAGCACTGCAGACCTTTTGGCCTTGGTACAGTGAAACTCAAGGGAGAGATAAACTCAAGGCAAGAACAGAAGTGAAGACATCATGTCTGGTCACTCTGACCCTCTGACACTGACCGCTCTGGCGAGGGGAGATGCAAAAGGGACTTTATGGCAAAAGAGATAACAAAGGACATTTCGAGCATAAGAAGAATAATCAGAAGATTGTGTTTCTAAAGGGGACTGGGACAAAGGGGTCAAAGTGGAAAATTTTGTATGAATGTAGCAACCTATAAATATTGGTAAACTGTGTAATAAATGGCTTTGCTTTGCTGGCATAAGCAGAGTCCGTGTCAATCAATCCTTGCACCAGATCTACATGATGCCAATGGGAACTGCTCCAAGCTTATGTTACTTACTGGGATCTTAGGTAAGTATGGGTTTGTAAATCACTAGAGGAAAAGGAAGCAGGGTTTCTCTCCTACTCAGACTCACCACTGAAGCTGCAGGACCTTTGCACCACCTTCTTCCTTCTCCTTTCCAAGGCTGAAATAATGAGAGTGCAAACTGGGACATTGTTTTTCTCCCAACAGACAACCCAGAAAAAATCTGTGCTTTGTTCTTCATTTCATTTGAATGGGTTTGTGAGCAGGTGGATATAGGATTTTGTGATCATAGAAATGGTGGTAGCACTGAATTGCTAAAAAAAGGATAAGCTGGTGACACCATGTAAAGGTAGAAGCACATTGATTAAATCCTATAGCAATTGCCAAGAGGGAAAGTATCTCTTCTCCCAGGCCAGGAGGCACACTCTGAGGGCTTCCAGTTGCTTCCTGTAAAACCTTCTGGTTACAGGGCTGAACTCTGCTGAGAGTTTCACTTTAATACATGTTTTAACTAAACTCTGGACATGTTTTTTCTTCAAATCATTCAGAATATCATAAGCCATAAGCAACTATTAATTTTGAAGTTTACATTCTTTTGAGTTTTAAAGCCTTGGTAGATCCATATGTTACTACTCCGGGGGTAATAAGGGTAATTATTTCCTCTGTAAAAATTATGATAGCCTGAAAAAAAGCTACTGATGGTTCATAATACTGAAACATAACCAACAAATTTATCCACTGTTTGGAAATTGATAAAGACAATGTTTCACATTCAATCACATTTACATGCAAGATTTAGTGATTTTATGCCTTAATCAATAAAATTGCATTAGAAATTACTGTCTCTTATATGAAACACCAGATTCATGCTTCTTGCAGTAAAATAATAATCCCCAATATTACTCCTTTAATAACTACATAGCCTCATTCACTTGAAATCAATTTCAGAAGTAATTAAAAAACACTAAGGATTATCTGGCCTTTCACAAATCCCTTCGGTACTTCCTGAGCCTTCACTACACCAAGAATACTAAAGACTTCAGATGGAGAGCTGGGATCTCTGACATTCCATTGTTGGCATCAATCGTTAAAAAAGGCACCAGCTGTATGTGAATCAAGAATCAGCAAATGCTGTTTCACTGGGCTGGCTGAGGTTAGTGGGCCACCACGAGCCTGCAGTGCTCCAGGCTAGGGCACAGCAGCTGGCAATGCCTGACAGAACAGGACCTGTGGGTGCTGGTCAACAGCGGCTGTACATGAGCCAGGTGTGCCCAGGTGGCCCAAAAGGCCAATGGCACCTGGCCTGGACCAGTGTGGCCAGCAGGACCAGTGACTGTCCCCCTGTACTCAGTAGTGGGGAGGCCACACACCAAATCCCATGCCCGCGGTTCTGGGTCCCTCACTGCATGAAAGACCCTGAGGGGCTGAAGTGAGTCTAGAGAGGGGAACAGAGCTGGGGAAGGAGCAGCTGAGGGAGCTGGAGGGGGGCTCAGTCTGCAGAAATGGAGGCTCAGGGAAGACCTCATTGCTCTCTGAGAGGAGGCTCTCATGGGATAGGAGTCTCTTCTCCAAGGTAATGACTGTGAGTAAATGGCCTCAAGTTGCACCACGGGAGGTTTAGATTGGATGTTAGGAAAAATGTTTCCACCAGAAGTGTGGGTCAGGCACTGGCACAGGGTGCCCAGGGTAGCAGTGGCATCACCATCCCTGGAGGGATTCAAAAGACATGTAAATGTGGCA